TCAGGATCCACTGAGAAGTAGCCCAGGCGCTCGAACTGGAACTTATCAAAGGGCTGGGCCCCGAGGACAGAGCTGTCAACCAGGGCATTGTCCACCACGTGGAGGGAGTCCTGTGCGGGGTGGGTGAGGGAACAGCACTGTCAGCACCTCAGCCCCTCTCTGTGCCAATGCTGAGGACATGAGGGCTGCAACAAATCACCGTTGGCACTCACTGGGTTGAGGTCACTCAGAAATCCACCTGGCACCTCCAAAGGGTCCTCAGGATTTTTGTGCAAAAACCTGTAATGAGACTCAGCCAAAGGAGCTGTGGGGCAGCAGCACCCTGTGGTGGGGTGACAGTGGCCAGGTGACACCACTGCCGTGCTGCCCTGGTACTCACAGCCGCTCATACAGCCGCACTTCGCACACCCGCGGCTCTGACACCCAATGGATGAAGGCTTTGGGCTTCTCCGCTGCATCCGACTTGGTGCAGGTCACCTCCAGCTCAATGACACGCCCATGGGCATCCTGGGGTGGGGGGGAGAGGAGCCATCAGGGGGCAGCTCCGGCCCACAGCCCCCCTGCTCAGGGCCACGCACCTTGATGACGTTCTGCACAGCGATGACGTAGCCGGTGTGCCTCAGCCCCACGGGCTGCCCGAGGGCCAGGCGCTTGTAGCCCCTGTCTGCCTCCTGTAAGAGGATGCACTGCTGCAGGAGGGGGTGCAGCACATATCCCCCCCTCCAGCTCAGTCCCCATGACTGTGTCCCCTTCCCTGTTCTGCTGCTGTGCTCAGTGGCACTGTGCCCAACTCACCTCCTTGAAGTCGCTCTCCTCGATGTAGACAACAGACTGGAAGGGCACTTTGTGGAAGCCCCGGCTCTCATCAGCAGGAAAGTTGGGCACGAGGACGTCGATTGTCTGGGGGACAAGAGAGGGTGAACGCTGCCCCAGGACTGCTGCACCCAGCCCAGACCACAGCAGCCTCACCTGGGGGGCCGGGAAGTTGGTGATGGTGACCTTGAGGGGCTCCAGCACAGCCATGGCACGGGGGGCCTGCTCATTCAGCACATCCCTCACGCACGCCTCCAGCAAGTGCGGTTCCATTGTCGCCTGGGCCACTGTCACACCAACCTGTGGGATGGAATGCACTGCTGCCACCCTGCTGGCTAGGGGGACACTTCCACATGCCACATCCTGTAGTGCTTACCCGTGCACAGAAGTTATTGATGGCCTCAGGAGGGAAGCCTCGCCGGCGCAGGGCAGTCAGCGTGAAGAGCCGCGGGTCATCCCAGTCCCTGAGAAGACACTGCTGTGACAATCCAGCATGCCCTGAGTGACAGCCACTCTGTCTGCTGGTCCACCCCTACCGCACAGCCCCAGTCTCCACCAGGCGGATGATCTTCCTCTTGGAGACAACGGTGTAGAGCAGGTTGAGACGGCCGTATTCCCACTGCACAGGGCAGTACACGTCCAGCACATTGCACAGCCAGAAGTAGGAGGAGCGCCTGTGAAGAAGCACAGCCCAGCTCAGCCACAAGGACATGGTGACCCCTGCTCAGGGCTGTGCATGGTGCTCACCTGGCCTGGAACTCCTTGGTGCAGAGGGAGTGTGTGATGTGCTCGATGGAGTCGCAGAGGCAATGTGTGTAGTCATACGTCGGGTAGATGCACCTACAGGGCGTGTGAACTTTGCCCTAGCCTCTCCATTCCTCTCCCAAGACCCCCCCCGCTCCAAGCACACACAGACCCGTCCCTGACACATCTTGTGGGACGCTGTGAGCTCTCCATACCACTTGTCCCCAGTGCGGTGGTGCGGAGTGAACTTGACACGGTAGGCAACGGGGTCCATCTTCCCATCCTCCATCACCAGCTTCATTCGCAGTGTGGCCTCCCCCTCCCCAAACTTCCCCTTTCGCATGTCCTGCAGGGCAGGCAAAGGCCATCAGCTGGGCCCTGCACCCCATAGGCACACAGTCCCTGGCTGAGAGTACCTCAAAGAGCACTAGTGACTCCTCCACAGGCCGGTCCCGCCATGGTGATGGTGGTGGGTTGTGGCCCTTGATCTCTTCAACCTTCTGATGGCAGACGTAGGCCTGTCCCCTGCAGAGAGGACACATGGCCAAGTGGACATAAGCAGCCCACCCCCGGACAAAGGGCAGCTATCTCTGGGCACCACTGCAGCATACTCACCTGCGGATGAGCTCCAGAGCCCAGGTGTAGAGCTGGTCAAAGTAGTCTGAGGCATGGGTCACAGCATAGGGCTGGTAGCCTGGGGGTAGACAGGTTTGAGCCAGCACTAGGGCTTGGCAGCAGGAGCTACATGCAGGAATGTTCCCATCAGCAACCCAGCCCCATCCTGCTCTCCCCAGTACAAGCCCTACCAAGCCACTCCACCATCTCTCGGATGGCTGTAAAGTACTTCTCCTCCTCCTTCTCAGGGTTGGTGTCGTCATAGCGCAGAAAGCAGATTCCCCCATTCGCCTGGGAAAGTAAGGAGAGTAAGCAGCTGCTCCTCACAGGGCCTGGACACAACCAGAGGATGCGGGGAGATGGGAGCAGGCTGCGCCCACCTTGGCGTAACCAAAGTTGAAGTTGATGGCCTTGGCATGGCCAATGTGCAGGATACCATTGGGCTCAGGAGGGAACCGTGTCCGCACCTGGGGAAAAGAGAAGGCACTGTCACAACCCTCATACCTTGTGCCTCCCCAGCGCCCACTGCAGCCTTACACAACGATGTTACCCACAAGGGAGTCGCTGTGCTCGGAGACCCGACCTCACCTGCCCACCCGTGACTGCCAGGTGCTGCTTCAGCAGAGCCATGGTGTTTGGTGTCACCACATAGCCCTCCGTCTTGTAGTTCTCTCCTGTGAGGACGGTGTGGTCAGTGCTGCAGCAGTGTTCCAAGCCTGGCACAGCTTGGCAGCCTGCAGGCAGTGCCTGCTTGCCCTCACCTGGCTTGTGGAATTTCAGAGCTTCTCCTCGCAGCTGCTCCAGCAGCGACTTCGTCTCTGTGCCCACCTCACCTATGGGGAAAGACAGGGCTGAGCCAGCACTGCCCAGTGGGACAGAGGACAGCCTGCACTCGCACTGATTGCGGTGATGCCCGATCACAGCCCGGGGTTGCTGGGCCCAAAGGGTTGGGGAAGCTCCCATGGAGCCGCTCACCATTCTCCACCACCAGCACCTTCTGCTTCTCCACTGGAGCTGGCCGGGCCTTGGCAGCCTATGGGGACAAGCACAGCAGCCTGAGCACCCACTGTGCACACACCTCTCTCCAGCCCTGCCCACCCCCCAGCAATAGCGCTGTCCTGTGATGGCGGCTGCGGCCACAATCACCACGCAGCCCTTCCGCATCACCTTTGGTTTCTTTTCCAGATCAGCTTCTGTCTTTGGTCCCAGCAAATGCAGCACCTGAGTGGGATGAAGGCGGTCTGACGGGGTGTCCCGTGCCCGGAGCAGCCCAGGGCACACACGTTGTGCCGCAGAGCCCAGCACCCACCTGCAGATCCACCTCGTTCTTGATGCTCTTCCCATCTGCCCACTGCAGCCGGCTCCGTGCCTCCGCTGTTGGGGCACGCAGCATGGGGCACGGCCCAGGGGGCTTCAAGAAGACCCCCAGGCCCGACTCCATCCCCCTGCCCCGCACTCACCCATCAGCAGCCCCGTGTTGAAGTGGTACCGCTCCGCCAGGAGCTCCTCCCGGTGCCGGCTGACCACGGCCTCCACCTGCGGACCCGGGAGCTGAGCGGGGAGCACAGCCCGAGCCCTCAGTTCCTCCAGTCCCGCTCCGCGCCCCCCACGGCCCCACTCACCGCCTCCTCGATCTGCTCGGGGCTGACCCGCACCCCCACGCCACAGGCCCGCTCGAAGTCGGCTGCTTCCAGGGGATCCAGCGGGTGACTGCGGAGGTACTGCAGGGCGGCTGCGGCCACAGCGCGCTCAGCACCGGCCCTCCGGCACCTTGCCCCGCTTCCCCTCCCCTCCCCTCCCCTCCCCCCCTTCCCTCCCCCCCCCCCCAGGCCGTTCCGTACCGCCCAACTGCTGGTCGGTGCGGATCTCCCTCCGCCCGATGTACCCCACCACGAAGGCCAAGCGGTCAGGGTCGCGGAGCCGGGCGGCCGCATTGTATAGCAAAGCACCGGTAGCTTTATCCAGGCCTGAGCCCAGCGCGGCGCGGGCCTGCAGCACGGCCTGGCGGAGCTGCGCGCTCAGCGCGGCGTTGCGCAGCGTCTCGCGGGCCTTGGCCTCGGTCAGCCCGATGCCGGTGAACAAATTCAGCACCTCCGTCTCCTCCGCCGCCATCGCCGCCATGCTGCCGCTGCCCGCCTGCGGGGGCGGGGCCTCGCGCCGCTCCGCTCTCCCCTACGAGCCAATCAGTGGAGAGTGTCCCTCCCTTCGGCCAATGGAGTGAGGAAACTCCTTGCAAGCTTCGCGAATCGGAGAGCAGGGGGGCGTGGCCAGGCGGAAGGACGGTTGCATCATTTAAAGGGACCGCTGCCCGCGGATGACACGTGGGGGGCAGGCCCGGGGCGGGGCCGGGGGCTGGCAGGGCCGGCCCCGGGGCTGCAGGGGGCGGTGGCGGGCGGACCCCTGAGGACGGCGCTCGGTCTCTTTTGTCGTCGGCGGGCACGTATATTGCGGCCCCGCATGTCCACCTTATGCCTCAGACGGCCACCCGTCGTCTCCCTTCATCCCCAGATTGTGTCCCCATGTACACCCCTGCTCCCTGTGACCTCTACATTGTGTCCCCGCAACCGCTTCTCTCTTCTTTGCACCCGTCTTATGCCCTCAGAACCACCCATGTCCCCCCTCATTGTGTTCCCACAGCCACCCGCATCCCTTTCCACGTCCGCTCCCGCACCCCAGCGCCATCCAGCTGACCTCTATGCCCACACCCATCCACTGTAGCTGCCCCACAGCGCCGTGCTCAGGCTGTGGCACCCCAGGATACCCACTCCCATCCTCAACACTGCTGCCAACACTGCAATTCAGAAAGGGCTTTATTGGCACGGCCACTCTCAGCACCTGGTGGGTACCTGCTCCACGTCATCCCCTGGCTCTATCCCTATGGCCGCCACCCTCCCCATCCCCTGCTCAGTGCCCGCCGCAGCCCCCGACTGCTCCTCCTTACTGGTGCCCGCGGCGGGCAGCGGCCTCATGCTGAACCGTGCACAGATGTTGGTGCCCGACACGCTGCGATACTCCCCCATCTCGGTGCGCACCGCCTCGTTCTGTGTGATGGTGAGCAGCACGGGCACCGACAGCGTCACCTCCTTGCGCAGCACGTGGATGGTGAGCTGCGTGCGCGGGGGGACCTTGGCGGGCAGGGCCACCTCGCTGCGCTCCCTCCGCGTGCACGACTCGCTGCGGCCCTTCTGCACCGTGAATACGTTGCTGGCCTCCACGGCCAGCGTGAAGGAGAGCCCGGCCCGCAGGCTGGTGGCGTTGCTGAAGTGGAAGCTCTGCCACAGCGTCGTGCTGTACTCCCGCGTGCTGCCGGCCGCCAGCGCCTGCTCCGATTCGGTCTCATTCACCCCCACGATCTCATCCACCAGCACCTCCCGCTCTGCCTCTATGCGTTTCTGGTCCCACAGGAGCTGTGCGGTGACCGTGGGGCGTCCGGGCCGCAGCGGGCGCAGGTGGGACAGCCGGGCCTGGAAGTGCAGCTGCGCCCCATAGTCGTCCACGCGCTCCCCGGGCCACGCCAAGCAGTGCCAGCCACCGCGGTTGGGGTGCTGGTAGAGCAGCCAGACCCCGCGCTGCACCACGTGTGAGGCCACGCGGTCATTGAAGTACCCGTACGCCAAGTTGGTCTCCTCGCTGACCACCTTGCAGGCGCCCTGCAGGTGGGGCCGCTCGTAGAGGGTGATCTGTGGGTCCAGCAGGTCGTGGTGCACCAGGCGCAGCGCCGAGAAGCTGTTGGGCCGCTCCACAGCCGTGTACTCACCCTCCTCGAAGACGTGCGGCTCGCCCTCGTACTTGGGCTGAGTGTAAGCGATCCAGGGCTGCCCCACCACCTTCAGCGAGGCGATGCAGTCACCGAAATCCAGTTCATGCAGGTCGGGCACGTCGCAGGTGAACTCACGACTCAACCCCTCGAAGTCAGCACGCTCGTACACCGTGATCTTGTTCATGGCGCTGTGTGGCCGAGAGCCCCGGCTCCTCCTCTCCCCAGTTCCGTTCCCTTCCCTGCCCCGTCCCGCTGCCTCTGCTCTCACCGTCTCTGCCGCCGTGCCCCAACGCTGCCCCGCAGCCGTCGCTTTTATCGCAGGGCTGTGACATGCCGTCACACGAGGGCCCTGCCACGGCCCCGCAGACCCGCACGGCACAGCGGGATGCCCGCAGACCAGCCCTGCCGGATAGTCCTGCCGCACCCCAAGCACATGGCGCTCCAGCGCTAACGAGTCACCGGCAATTAGCAGGGGTGCTTCCGCCCTGCCTGCACTAATTATGGTGTGAGACGGCGGTGGGGCCGGAATGGCTGGATCACCGTGGTGGGGTGACAGGGTGCAGCGGTGGCACCAACCGGTGTCCCAGGCTGAGACCCCACTGCACTCCAGTCCCACTGGAGCTCAGCGCAGCCCCTGGCACAGCACAGCACGGCCACTTGGCACGGCATGGCCACTTGGCACGGCACGGCCACCTGGGTGGCACAGCATATCACCCACCATGGCACTGCACAGGGTGTTACAACAGAGCCATATGACACGGTGTGGTGGTGTGACAAGGCATGACGCAGGGATGGCTTGGGTAGACAGTGCCACTGTTCCCTCCTTGTCCCTCACGGTGAGGACATCCCTAACTTCACTGCAGAGCAGGATGCCCACGGACCTCCTGGGGCAGCATACACCGCTGACAACCCCCAGCCACACATCAGACATGGGTTTGGGCAACTCTCAGCCCCACAACCCTCCCACAGCCAGCTGGGCTCAGGGCAGCAGCTGCCCCTATAACCCTGCAGTGAGAGGTTCTCCGCAGCCCCTCAGTGCCACCACACCCATCCAGCTCCTCCCAACCAGGTGCTGCAATCCCAAGCCGGGGTGTGCCAGGGTCTCCCAGTTTATTGCCAGATGTCGGGGCGGTTGGGGTTACACCAGACAAACGCTACAGAAGCGGTTAGTGAGCGAGGTGCCACTGGCCGGGCCGGCCGGGTTGGGGGGGGACAGCGGGGCACAGGGACGGAGGCCGGGGAGGGGCTGTCCTACTCGCTTCCCCCCCTCCCACCACCCACTGCCCATGTCCCACACCCCCCTCCCAGCGCTGGGGACCCCCATGGCCGCCCCGTCCCCGTGTCCCCGAGCGGTTCCCACCACTCCCTGCTCCCTGCATCGAGGCTGGGGCAGCGCGGCAGGGGGGGCCCGGGGGCAGGGCTGCGTGGGTGGGAGGCGGTGCTGGCATTATTGCTATGGCGGGCGGGAGCAGCGCGACCCTCCCCACGCTCAGATCACAGTCTCGAAGAGCGTCGTCTTCTCCTTGGGGGGCTCCGGGGCCAGCAGTTTGGCTTCGGCCTCGGGCGTCAGGTACTCCAGGTGGTGGTGGCCCCAGATCGGCGTGGTCAGCAGCTGCCAGCGCTGCAGGGACATGGGGTCAGCAGCGGGGACGTGGCACGGGACATGGCACGTGGGTGAGCATGGGGACACGGATGGAGTTTGGATGGGCATAGGGTAGGAATAGAATTTGGATTGGGCTGGGGAAGGGATTGAGATGGGACTGAGGGAGGGACACGGTAGCGGGGCACAGGGTGGGGATGGGGTCTGAGATGTTGCTGAGAGAGAGAGAAGGATGGGGGCAAGGATGGGATTTGAACAGAGAAAACCATAGAGCAGGGATGAGATTCGGATGAGGTGGGCTTTGTGTGAGATGGCAATGGGGACAGGGATGAGATGGGCAGAAGGCAACGGGGATGAGGATGGGATTCAGCTCAGGATTGGACTGAGACAGCAAGGTGAGGCGATGAGATGGAGATGCCAGAGAGGACAGGGAATGGATTCAGATCCGGATGGGGACAAGGACAAGGGTCGCCAGTGCTGTCCCACCTCGCGCAAGGAGCCTTTGCAGCGCAGGAGCTTGTAGATGACGGTGCAGGGGATGCAGAGCATGGAGGAGAGCGCCAGGACCCAGCCGATGGCATCGCCCCACCACGGGTACACGTAGGTCTTGTTGTACGTCAGCGGTTTGTAGTTCACCACGTGGAACAAGAAGATGCCCTGTGCGGAGCGGCAGCGAGCTCCCACGGCCGTCCCCACGCGTTCCCACCCTCACCACACCGCCGTGCCCGCAGCCGCCGCCGGGGGGAGCCCGGAGCCCGCGGAGCGCCGCCCGGGGCATCGCGCACGCGGCCACGAGAGGGCACCCGAGTGGCCCCGACCCACGCGCGACCGCGTCCCCGCTCACCACGCAGACCAGCGGCGTCACCACGGCCCAGCACCACTTCATGAGGGGCAGCGGCCGGTAGCCGATCATGCGGGCCACGTCGTCCATGAAGCGGTCAGCGCCTGTGGGGATGGGGTTGTCAGCGGGGTCCCACGGGCGCCCGTCCCCGCATCCCTCCCCATCCCACGGCCTCACCGTACACCCAGGCGATGACCACGCACTCCCAGAAGGCCTGCCACAGCAGCGTGATCCCGCTGGCCGAGTAGTTGTCAAACAGCTGGAACACGTACATGCCGCCCTGCGGGACAGCACTGCATGTCACCGGGCTGTGCTGTGTGTCCCTGCTGCACAGGCACCCGAATGGCACAGGGACCTCAAGCACAGAGACCACAGATGGCACTGGCATTCCAAATGGCACGGGGACCCCCAATGGCACGTAGACCCCCGCAGTGCCGTGGACACTTACAATGGCACAAACATCCCAAATGGCACAGACAACACCCCAAACCGTGTGGATTCTCGAAATGGCACGGACAGCCCAATGCCACGGGCATTCCAATGGCGCAGCCATCCCAAGTGGCACAGACACCCCACACAGCACGGACACCTCAAATGCCACAGACATCCCCAACACCAAGGGCACTCCAATGCCACACCCCCCCCCAGATGGCACAGGCAGCCCACGCCGTGGAAAAGCACAACCCGGCCCCGGCCCGTGTCCCTGCGCGTCCCCACCTGTGTCACCATGGAGAGGTCGATGAGGCAGCAGACGAGGCAGCAGAGCGCGGCGGTGAGCTCGCGGCGCAGTGAGCCGGCCCCCGGCTGGGGGAACAGGTCCAGGATGCCCGTGATGAAACCCTCCACACCGACAAACTGTGGCACACAGCAGGGTCAGCAGAGGCACGGCATCCTGTCCCCGTCCCCATCCCCATCGCCGTACCTGGCTGTCCAGCCCCAGCACCAGGAGCATGAAGAAGAAGAGCGTGGCCCACAGTGGGGACAGGGGCATCAGAGTCACGGCTTTGGGGTAGGCGATGAAGGCCAACCCAGGGCCTGTGGGGACAGTAGGGTGAGAAGTGCCACCCCCTGTAGGATACACAGGGCCCACAGCACGCACCACTCACCCGATTCGGCCACTTTGGAGATATCCACGCCCTGCTCCGAAGCCATGAAGCCCAGCACGGAGAAGACGACGAAGCCGGCAAAGAAGCTGGTGGAGCTGTTGATGACGGCCAGGATGTAGGCGTCCCTGCGGGCACAGCGGGTTATGGGCTGCTGCGGGGGCTCTGCGGGGTCCCAGCGGCGGCGCAGCCCTACCTGTAGCAGTTGTTGTGGAAGCGGTTGTAGCTGCCCAGCGCTGTCAGCGCGCCCAACCCAATGGCGTAAGAGAAGAAGATCTGAGTGCCGGCGTCGATCCAGACCTGGGGCACGGGGATGGCGCTGGGATTTTAGGGGCACCGTGTGTCCCTCCCTGTGGCCTCACTGTCCCCCCTGCCCTCACCTGCGCCTCGGCCAGCTTGGACCAATCGGGCTTCAGGTAGTAGACGATGCCTCCCAGCGCGCCGGGCAGTGTCACGCCGTGCACCAGCAGCAGGATGAGGACCACGTAGGGGAACAGCGCCGTGAAGTAGACGATCTGCAAATGGGGAGCTGGTCAGACCCCCGTGGGGCAGGGGGTGCTATGGGACAGGACGCCCCGTGCCACACGTGTCCCCATCAGGGCCAGGTTCTTGGATGACCCCAAGCACAGGTGGCAACGTCCCATACAGATGTGGGACCACGTTACCTTCCCGGTTGACTTGACACCCTTCCAGATGCAGAAGTAAACGATGATCCAGGTGGTGACCAGGCACAGGATCATCTGCCAGTTCATCTCCCCCGGCTCGCTCAGGTCCCCCGACAGCCGCAGCACTTTGTTCCTGCACGGCGGGGTGGCACTGAGCACCCGCACATCCCCGTCCCCTCTGCCCCCACGCCGTCCCCGCACTCACTCCCAGAACTCGATGACAGGTGAGCGCTTGTCGGCCATGTCGACGCAGCTGACGTTGAGGGCGGTGACGGCGGCGCTGGCGTTGGCACTGGCGTTGCGGCACAGTTCCAGGTGGAAGAACTCCGTGCACCGCTCTGTGTTCCACGCGTGGCCGCAGGTGGCCCAGGGCAGCGTGTCGGTCAGCGAGTGCACCAGGTAGAAGAGCCCCCACACCAGGATCATGATGTAGTAGGAGTTACAGAAGAAGACGATCACCATGGAGGCCAAGCCCAGACCTGGAACAATGGCAGCGGGGTTGGCACGGGGCTCCGCACACCCACGATGAGCCGGGGGGCAGGATGTGGGATGACGGCGGGGATGGGATGTGTAGAAGTGGGACAGTGGGTAGGGGGATGGCACGGGGTCGGCCATGGGCACGGTGACGACTCGTGGCTCTCGGGGCCGGAAACGGGGAGCTGCAGGGCAGGGCAGGGAGCTGCCATCCTTGGCTGCGGGACACGGGGTGTGGGCAGGAAGCTGCAGGGGCCCTGCGCAGGGCACCAAGGGGGGGGGAACGGTGAATACCTTTGAAGAGCGGAGCGATATTCCATGCGGCGATGCCCCCCTGCTTCATGAACTGCCCCAGGGCCACCTCCAGGAAGAAGACAGGGATGCCGCCCACGAAGACGATGAGCAGATAGGGGATGAGGAAGACGCCTGGGGGGGGACGCAGACATTCAGGGTACGGCTCAGCCGTGCCGTCCCCCCCTCGCCGGTCCCCCCCGCGCCGCC